TTACGAAACTTCGGTTCATGGGGACAGTCTGCTAGGTTGGGTGATGAGGTGGGTGCTAAGCTTGGGTTCTGTCGCAGCGATTCTCGACCTGTGTGTCGCGAACAATGAAAATACATCCTGCATATCAGATATTTACATGACGATTCATAACAGCAGCAACATTACAGTTATGAAGTAACAACGAAAATAATTTTATGGTTGGGGGTCACCACAACATGAACTGTATTAATGAGTCGCGGCATCAGGAAGGTTGAGAACCACTGGTCTAGAGGAAAATGTAAATAGCTAATCATTTTATTTGATTACGAAAGGGAGTGGAGGTGGCCTTCAAAGGGCTACAAAGATAGCTGAAGCCTGTGAAAACAGAGGGATGGAAAGTTCCAGATCCAGAGGTCGTATGTATTTTTTTTTTTAGCATTAGAATTTTGTTGCTTCTCTTTTACAGGGTGATTTGTGATTCCCGAGTGAGGGTTGAACTATCAACAGGCATGCCTCGGAGATCTTATTTGGATAGACCACCTGCCCGACATCCCTTTGATCCAAATGATAGATGCTATGAGTGTGGTGAAAAGGGACATTATGCTTATTATTGTCATCGCTATAGCCGACGAAGAAGAAGCAGGTATTTATTTTAAGGGAATGGTTGGTGTACTGGTTCATGAAGTAATTCTTTTATTAGCAAGGCAGAAACTAATATTTTTATATAACTTTGAATGTTAATTGTACAGGTATATTTTTACAATTTTTGTTTAATTAGGCAAATGTTAATATATTAATAATCAACCTGGTCAAACCTTTCAGGTTTCTTCGTTTGAGTCAGTCGCCTTGATTCAGAATGTCACGAGCCTTATGATATGCTGAGGCGCCTTGCAAATCGGACAATTAAGATCCTCCTAGACCAGTGATGGTGAACCTTTTGAGCTCGGCGTGTCAGCATTTTGAAAAACCCTAACTTAACTCTGGTGTCGTGTCACATATAGAAATTTTTTGATCTTTGCAACCATAGTAAAACAAAGACTTATATTTTTGATATTTATTTTATATATTTAAATGCCATTTAACAAAGAAAAATCAACCAAAAAAATGAGTTCACGTGTCATAGGTTCGCCATCACTGTCCTACACCTTGAGGTGATCAGCATAAGAGGCCAGATCCCCTCGAGTCATCTACACCTAGCTTCACCTTATTCTTTAAAGGGCAGAAAATTTGAGTCGGTGATCGCCGTAACAGTAAATTTGGCTTACAATTGGGGTCCCCTCCGGTTTAGAACGAGGAACACCAGATTGACCACATTTCCAACTAGAAAAATCTTCTTGCGTCAATCAAGCCTCACCTGGCTCATTTGGCTGTCAGTTTGATCGTCATTAGATTGAAGAAAACATCTAGATGCAGCGATCGGCTATCGATACTTCTGTATCATCTAGATCTACTAGACCACGGGCCAAAGAGGGTCGACCTGCAAACTTGCAAGGTTTATTTTAAATACACATTACAGTGTTTGATATTATGTAATTCTAAGATGTAATTCAGCTTTTAACAAATCTTTTTTTTGGTAGTTTAAAAAAAAAAACTGGACAACTAATAGGCCCAGAATTTATTTCCAAATGAGATAGTAAATTTAAATAGTTTTGAGACTTGATTTCAGCAGAGGGACAGACACTATAAATACGAGTTGCCATCTAACATTTTGTTACTTTCCCAACTTGAAAAATAGGTCACGGTCTAGATCACATTCGAGATCCAGAGGTAGACGATATTCTCGCTCACAGAGCAGGAGCAGGAGCAAGAGCAGGGCAAGGAGGTGAGAGATCTTTAATGCAAGTTTTAACAAGCAATAAAAAAACTTAAATTTGGAGATGGACCTAAACCTCTTTGATTTAATTTTTAGGTCGAGATCAGCATCTCCTCGACGATCAAGATCTGTATCTCTTCGTAGATCACGATCCGCTTCACTCCGACGATCTAGATCTGGTTCTATAAAAGGATCGAGGTAATTCCAGTGTGTACCATCCCCCCCCCTCCCCCCGCTTATTTGTATTTGGGTTGTCACGTCTTAATGACAAAAAGAGAGTGTCTTAAGGACATAATTTGGCATGATGGGGTAAATTTGAGACCTTAGAAAGTTGTTAGGGAAATAGTAGTGTACATATGGGTAAACATGGCTTGTTTAGCCAGACACTTAAACACTGAAATTTAGAAGGTAGAAATCAAACTAAGAACTTCACCTCTTTTTACTCCTTTTGTAAACGACCTGTAAAGGTGATAGAAATGAATAAAGTATAGAGAATAAGGAGTTGACAAGTACTATAGATGATGGATGAGTCTCCTAGGTAGGAAATGCCATTGGGAGATATTGTGTTATAAATCTTTAAATGCAGAGATTTTAAGATAAAATCAAATCATATCAGTCTTAAATGAAAACCATTTACTTTCTCTTGGATACTTACCTAACAATCTAGCTCATTGGGTATGGTAGAAGCAAATAATTAAAATGGTATTTCCTTATTTATTTGATATTACACCTTGTTGAAAATGTGGCAACTTGTTGAATCTTAGACTGACATAAGGCAAGATGGCATCTTGCTCAGTTTTGGCTTCTATTCCGAGCCTGCCTAATAAGGTGCTCAGAAGGTGTTTAAGGAAATTACTAGTGTGGACTAATTGGTATAATTTTTGTTTTTAAGATCTCGGTCAAGGTCAAGATCAAGATCCAGGTCTATTTCACGACCAAGAAGCAGGTAAGGGTAAAAAGCTGAACAATGCTCTTGTTATATGGCACCAATATCCAAAGACTTCCAAGTGTTTTGAATTATTGAGGCTTCAGGTGCCAACTCTAAGCCTAGGTGTTGAGTGGGAACATGGTACCTCGTTAATGAACTAAACTTTAGAACTTCATTTGTACATGGCCTCTTCTGGGTGATTTCCTGGACGAGGGAATGTCAAGGTATAGTCAGAAAGCAGTTTGTAACTTTGGTGTTAAGAGGCCCTTGTTAGAACCTGTAGGTGCCTGGAGAAGGATTCTGATAGGTGAGCTTTAGGCAGGTCAATCATGATAAAGGCAGTTCATTTTATGAAGGCGAGTTGGAAGATGGGCTTTTGTTCGCAAAAGCTGATGGGCATTTTTTTCCCCAGTTTAATTGCAGCCTGACATTTTAATTTCAGGACAATTTGGGGGTTCATTTCATGATATTGTGACTGTAAGAAAGGGATTGGTTAGTACTTTTTCTTAATAGAATTTCTCATGTTTTGACAGCCGATCAAAGTCCAGATCTCCATCTCCAAAAGAGAAGGTAAGCTAAATAATTTGTTGCCAAATTTTAACCGTCAAATGTGGCCTCTGCAGAATTTGTTTGCTTCCTGCCTACTTTGCAGGCTTTGATTTTGAGCTCGTTGGAGAATTGGTGCTATATATATAATACTAAGTTTCTTAAAGGATTGCTTTTCCTGCTTCATTATCACCTTATACTTTTATTGGAAATATTTAGTCATAAAATGTTAGAATGACAATCAAGATGTGTTTAGTCCTGTGAACCCTTAATTGTATAATTTCATAAGACACATGGCTTTCCCCACACATAGGTAAAAAGGAAATGAAGAAAAATTTGTAGGTTGAAATCTTTTTTTTTTTAAATATATTTTATTGATTTTTTACAGAGAGGAAGGGAGAGGGATAGAGAGTTAGAAACATCGATGAGAGAGAAACATCGATCAGCCGCCTCCTGCACGCCCCCCACTGGGGATGTGCCCGCAACCAAGGTACATGCCCTTGACCGGAATCGAACCTGGGACCCTTCAGTCCGCAGGCCGATGCTACATCCACTGAGCCACACCGGTCAGGGCTGTAGGTTGAAATCTTGAAGCTAAACTATTATCTGTCTAGTTCAATGATGGCGAACCTGTGACACGCGTGTCAAAGGTGACAGGCGATCTCATTTTGGGTGACATGCACCGACAGAGACAAAAATAGCATAATTCAAATATTTGTCTCTCGAAACGGCCAGGGTTGGGCATCACTCGAGTAATATTTTTACTCACGTTACTCATGATCAATAATGCAATTCTGAAACCGGATGTAAACCTGTACATCGGTGTTGCATAGCAAAGATCCATAGTGAAAACATCCAAGATACATTGTTCCAATATTGACATTAATATAAAAAGGTTAAGAATTGCACTATAAAAAGATTAATCTTTACTCATGACATGTTATTTTTACTCGAGTGACAAAATGCCCAATTCTGGAAACGACCTCGTTATTGTCATCATGTGCCTCGGGTAAGCTTCCTGTGCATTCGGGTGCATTCGGCAAATGGACGCACTTGATCGCCATGTTCGTTAGGAGACAGGAGTGGGAGGGTTAGAAGAAAAAGATATACAGTGCAACAGTGCTCGACGAGACATTCTGCGTGTCGGATAATTGATTACAGCACCATATATTTGTTGGTTATACATACTATATTTGAATTGTTATGCACCAGGAGTCAGTGCAACAACACTGCAAAAAGTTAATAGGTAAGAAACCTATCAACCTTTTATAAAAAAACACCGTGATTTATATTTATTCATTTTTGCAGCCTTGTGATGGAGAATCAAAAAAATAAAAAAGCAAGATTGAATGATAAAGGAAGTGGAAGTAGCAGCAGCGACCCTTTCAAGACATATGGACAGAAACAACAGATCATTGTGCACACTGTGTAATGAAACGGTAGTAAGCAGAACGTGGAATGTAAAGAGACATTTTGAAACTAATCATTGTCAGCTATTGAAAAAAAGTATCGATGAAAGGAAGGAATACATTTCTAGGCAGCTACACCTCTATAAAAGTCAATCAAATTCCATCATTAAATTTGTAGATGCTCTAAAAATTTAACATCAGCAAGTTACTCTATTGCTCACTCCATAGCTCAGCATGGAAAAGCCCTCAGTTACGGAGAATTTGTTAAGGAAACATTCTAAGGTGTGCACCAGCTCTATTTCACCATATGAAAAATAAAGATGTATTATTAAAAGAATTTCTGAGTTACCACTCAGTAGAAATACTATCAAAGACAGAATAATAGATCTTAACAAAAACGTATAACATCAATTAAAAAAAGACTTAAATAGTTGTAAATATTTTTCTATTTCTCTTGATGAAACCACTGATGTCACATCAAATGCTCGGTTGGCCATTATTGCTAGATATTCTGATGGTCTCACAATGAGAGAAGAGTTGGATGTGTGTGCTCACTGTGGGAAGTCCTTCAGAGATCACAGTGCCCTCCTTGAAATCAGGGCGTTCACACTGGATATAAGCCATTTGAGTGTACTGCTGTGGGGAGGCCTTCAGTTTAAGGTCTACCCTCATTCAGCACCACAGCATTCACACTAGAGAATAGCCGTATGAGTGCAGAGAATGTGAGAAGTCCTTCCGTCAAAGGTCTTGCTTCAGTGAACACCTCAGAATTCACATTGGTGAAAAAGCATTTAAGTGGTTTATGTCAGAAACCCTTTAGGTGCAGTAATCATCCCCTTAGCCACAAGAGCCTTAACAGTAGAGAAATGCCATGTGACTAGTGATTGTGGGAAGTCTTTCAGCCAAAGATCTAAACTCATGGAAAACCCCGGAGTTCACACTAGGGAAAGCATTAAATGTGCCGGGAATGTTGTATTTTTCTCACTTAGAATGACAATGCTGAAGGAGACACTTGGCGTCGCATTCACCGGAATGTAAATCCCTTACAATGGAACATACGCTGCTAGATTCCTCCTCAGTTTCAGGTACAAGTGAAACTTGAAGTACAAGGGCACTTGCTAACATGCCCAGACCTACTACCTGACTGATTTACAACTGAGTGTTTGTGGTGGAAGAGATTCACCTCTAGCACCTGGCTCACCAGGAGAGCGTGCTTCCACCACCACCCGTGGGTGCTCAGGGGAAATGCGTTCTGCATTCTCACTTGTGCTTGAGAAAATCATGCAGACTCTGAGCTCTTGGCAGGATCTTCATTCCTTTACCTCTGACGAGGGGATGGACCTGACCCAGGGTTCGTCTAGGGCTCCCGTCCTCAGCTAAGAAGCGCTACCTCTTTCAGGGACACGGCGGGTCTCACAGTATGGTGTGACGAATTCCTTCAGGTTCTAATTCACCAACCTGCAAACTCCTTGCTCTCCTCTGTTCTGGTTTATGAGATTTCGTAAAGGTGTGTTTTTTTTTATTTTGTATCTTTATTTATTTTTGGTAAATCACTGGGATGATTTGAGAGGAAAGTTGTGTTCTGTCAGCGTGGAGAGGTGAACAGATACGGTGGGTCCCAAACTTTCTGTGCTTTGGAAGGCACATAGCAATCACAGAAAATCACTCTCTGTCCAATATTGGCTGATTTTGTATTGCTGACCAAGGCCTTGAGAGAGAGGGTGCATGACTTTGTGGTGCGGATTTGCAGTCTGGTGCCTCTGTTATTGCTGAGTTCATTAGTCACCCAGAAGAGGAGTTCACTGTTGTGCTTCTGGGAACAATATGAATTATATTTGCTATTCCCAGTGTATCCTACATGATTCTCAGCAAGGTTTAGGGAAATTCTTCCCCACATACTGTAGAGGAGCCATGTGCCGTGATGTACATTTCATAGGCTGGTGCCATTTGTTATAAGGCTCTGAGGGCACCCTAACCGGTTTGGCTCAGTGGCTAGAGCATCAGCCTGCGGACTGAAGGGTCCCAGGTTCAATTCCAGTCAAGGGCATGTACCTCGATTGCGGGCACATCCTCAGTAGGGGGTGTGCAGGCGGCAGCTGATCGATGTTTCTCATCGATGTTTCTAACTCTCTATCCCACTCCCTTCCTCTCTGTAAAAATCAATAAAATATATATATTTTTAAAAATCGTCTTTCCCTTTTCCTTCCCAGCCATCAACAATAATGACAGTTCTACTTTTTCCACAATCCTGCCAGCACACGGGTTGCATACTATTTTTAAATTGTAGACCCGGAAATGAGTATAGTGTTAGCTTGTTTTGTTTTAAATCCATTTCACTAAGAAGTTTTTTATGGTGATTGTTTCTTCATGCATTTATTTACTAATGCGCTGACTTTACCTCCTTTGTTGAAATGTATGGTCAGAACCTTTTGCCAATTTTTAAAATGAGTTTATTATTTTAATCAAGAGGAGGTAAGTGCAGCAACTAAGACATATTCACTTCACTCATTCCTCAACGACTCAGCTGATTCCTTTGCAATTTGGCACTATATGATTTGAATGTAGGACGCAAAATTATTGTTCACAGATTGTGTCCTAAGTGCAATTTACTAGCAAATCCAACTTGTACGATACACTTATTAGCTCAACTGCGTTGCTAACATTCTTCTCTGTTCTAAGTCTTCAAATCCAGTAGTACATTAAGGTTTATAGTACTTGTCAGTTTTTTTTTTCTCTCATCATTGCCAGTTTGAAACTGCCAAAATAATGGCATTTTACATTGGCCTGCTAAGATATTTCACTAGCAAATCATTTTATTTCCAATGTATAGATACAGTTGCAACAAATATGCTCAAAAGCATTCATAATAAAATCCTATATAATAAAGAGCTAATATGCTAATTAGACCAGCCGGTGGGACGACCTTCCGGAATGACCCGGGGACAGGATCGCAAGGCAGCCGGGGCTGCTGGGAGGGCCAAGGCAGCAGCTACAGCTGGGGGCTGTGAGGACTGAGCCCCTTGCATGAATTTTGTGCATCGGGCCTCTAGTAGTAAAATAATTGAGAAGTGGCATGTTTTAAACATTTTTTAAAACATACATTCAGCCCCGACCAGTTTGGCTCAGTGGATAGAGCGTCGGCCTGCAGACTGAAGAGTCCCAGGTTTGATGCTGGTCAAGGGCATGTACCTTGGTTGTGGGCACCTTCCCAGTAGAGGGTGTGCAGGAGGCAGCTGATCGATGTTTCTCATCGATGTTACTGGCTCTCTGTCCCTCTCCCTTCCTCTCTGTAAAAAAGCCAAACAATACAATATATTTTTTTAAAAACCACATACATTCAATGTGTATGTGTGTGTGTGTGTATATATATATATATCTTTTTAAATATATTTTATTGATTTTTCACAGAGAGGAAGGGGGAGGGGTAGAGAGCTGGAAACATTGATGAGAAAGATCGACCAGCTGTCTCCTGCACACCACCTACTGGGGATGTGCCCACAACCAAGGTACATGCCCTTGACCGGAATCGAACCCGGGACCCTTCAGTCCGCAGGCCGACGCTCTATCCACTGAGCCAAACTGGTTAGGGCAACAAGATATATTTTTTTAATGATTTCATAGAAGGAGGAAGAGGGGGAGAGACAGAAATATCAATGGTGACAGAATCACTGTTAGGCTGCCTCCTGCACACCCCACTGTGGGGATTGAGCTCACAACCCTGGCATGGGACCTGACCTGGAATCGAACTCTGACTTCCAAGTTCATAAGTCAACATTGAACCACACCAGTCGGGCTCTTCTAAACTCTTAAGGGTCCCCACCTGACCTGCAACCAGGGCAGCAGTGAGTTGCAGCAGCTCATCCCAGGCTGAGCCCCTGGATCTGCACTCAAGGTCCAGTGAGCTCACAGCAGCCCCGCTTTGGCTCCCTTATTTCCCACAAAGTTCCTAGAGCCAGGGGAGCCCCACGGAGGCTCTGCTGGTGCTTGTTCGATCCGAGGGCCGACATTGGTTTTCATTAGCTCAGCTTCAACAAACATACCTTCAACATCTCCTGAACTTACGTTGTGAAATCTTTTCTGCATGAAGTCAAGAACAAACATTACAGGCCAACCTGAGGCCGACCCGGTCCAGGCTGGTTCCTGTTCCCGAACACAGTTATGCCTGGGACACCCTCTATAACAGTGATGGCGAACCTTTTGAGCTCGGCGTGTCAGCATTTTGAAAAACCCTAACTTAACTCTGGTGCCGTGTCACATACAGAAATTTTTTGATATTTGCAACCATAGTCAAACAAAGACTTATATTTGTGATATTTATTTTATATATTTAAATGCCATTTAACAAAGAAAAATCAACCAAAAAAATGAGTTCGCGCCCTGGCTGGTTTGGCTCAGTGGATGGAGCGTCAGCCTGCGGATTGAAGGGTCCCAGGTTCGATTCCGGTTGAGGGCATGTACCTTGGTTGCAGGCACATCCCTAGTTGGTGGTGTGCAGGAGGCAGCTGATTGATGTTTCTCTCTCATTGATGTTTCTAACTCTCTATCCCTCTCCCTTCCTCTCTGTAAAAAAAATCAATAAAAATATATTTTTAAAAAAATGAGTTTGCATGTCACCTCTGACATGCGTGTCATAGGTTCGCCATCACTGCTCTATGACAGACCAAGGCGTGGTTTTGCTTACAAGGGTGGGGAGGAAAAGTGAGGGCCCTCACTCACTTTGGTGTTGTTGAATCAATGCAATCTTTTTTTCAATCATTTATTTCTTTTTTTAAAACATCCATGTGAGCCCTAATTGGTTTGGCTCAATGGATAGAGTTTACCTGAGGAAGGAAGGTCCTGGGTTTGATTCCAGTCGGGCACATGCCCTGATTGCTGGCTCGATCCCTAGTAGGGGGCGTGCAGGAAGTAGCCGATTAATGATTC